ATTAGGAAAATATATTTTAAGACTGGTTTAAGAGTCGCCAACTTAAATTTTTGAAGAAAAAATCAAGAAAAACTGTTGTTTTACAAAAAGACTAAAACAGGAATCTAATGAAAACTAAAAAAAAGTTACGAGGTTCTTATTAATATTCTAGGAAGGTTTTTAAAGCACCTAGAATATCCGCTAATGCGGTTATCCGACGATTAATTATTTGGCTAAAATAATTTTAACTTAACTCGAATTGCAAAACTGAACTATTTTATGGTCAGGATCATTTTAAGGGAGAAATATAAAAATGTAGCCATAATATTTAAATGAAGTATTTCATAAACTTACGTATTTATTTACTTATTTATTCTTAAGTTGAGTAAGAAACGGATGATTTAGTTAAGTGATTAATTCAAAATGGGTGTCTTCTGGGGATTTGAATTTTTAAACCTTAAGATTAATAGCAGATAATAGTGAGTGAACAAACACAACGAGGAAGGAGATTTGGGCCCAAATCTGGTTTTCCTGTCCGCCTGGGCCAGTATTTGGGTCCATTTCCGTCAATTTCACCTGTCCTAAGCACTAACGCAATAATAATAAATAATGACAAGGGGGCTTAGGCCCAATATAACAAAATACAACTCATAATTAATATAGGCGGGCTTTTGGCCCAATCCTTTTCAACTCCCGATCTGTTCCGCTTTTCTTTTGGCTTCGGGACCTGTACATCGATTTTTATGGGTCGGTAGACTCGATGAAGATGGAATTTGAGCCTTTATGGTTCTCTCGAAATGCAAAGGGAATGATGGGAGTTCACAATGAACTCGGGCGAATTTCACATGCAACAAAAACAAGTAAACTTATGAGTAACAACCCACATGACTTAATATAAGAAACTAAAGGAGAGTAAAAATCACTACCGCCTAATCATCACAGTGAGAAAAAAAATATAAATGAATAAATAAATAAATAACATTGATTAGGATTAGAATTCGACAAGCTCTAATGTTGTATTGTATGTATTGATAGTTGATAGGAATATATATTACTATATTATAAAGTGAAATTTGAAGGACATATGTATAATAACTGCTTCCACGTGAAAGCTGATGGCAAATTGGGACAAACATTGTTGACCACTGAATAATGATGTGTTAAAATTGGAAATGGGTTGGAAGTGTAATTGTTAAGCATGAATTAATGTTATTATTATAATGTTAGAAGATTGAGGTGCTGCATTCATATGGGTCTGCATATTGACATAATTAATAAGTAAGCATAGAGAAAACAAATGTTTCACATACATATATTTATATCCCATAGATAGTAGTACACATACATTCATAGCTTAAGATGAACTAAATTCAAAAATTAATTTTTTACGGTAAATTCATTTAAAGAACGAAATCGACGGACAAGTTTAACCAAAATAAAAGACAAGGAGCACAAGGCGGATGAATGAATCCCAAAAGAGATAAACTAATAATATGCGTATAGCCTAAGAAAGTGCAAATTGACAAATAGTCCTTTTGAAGGAAAACATGCAGAGACACGTTTCTCAATCCATCACTAAAAAGGGACTAAACATTTCTATCCCTTGGAATTTGATAAGAGATGGCAGCAAGCAAAATCAAAATAATACAGTAGACTTTTAACACATTTTCCATACATGAGCATGCATTCAAAATAAGCAG